TGGCAAATACAACTTTGCCACATCGATATTTTAATTGTAAATGGCATCGTGACATCGCTTTGTGCTCACCACTCTGGTTCGAAGCCAGTTGTGGATTCTGATGAAACTATAGGACAGAATAAGTAGGCCGATAACTATGAGAGTTGAAGTGAAAGGAAAACGCATCCTGGGGTTTAGTCATGCCTTTGTGGAACACTAGTCCTTCCTCATTCTGTAACGTATGCAAAATGGCTAAAGAAAACTGGCTACTTTCAACTTAGGTAAAAAAAAGGTGGTGAAAACGTGAATTTTCCCACAACTAGATGGGTAGGAATCATGCTTTTATTGAATGTCACTTATCCTTGACTCCCAAAAGGTGGATCGCACTTTTGACCACACTCTGACTAGTCTCATCAGCATCCCCAGGGACAATCGAACTCGGGTAAATGAGGCCGATTGATATAATTGTGGGAGAAGTCGAGTTGCATTTGTTCCTTATCCTCTGTGGCCTAGAGTGAATACAACTTTTCTTCAGAAACGATTGGTCTCATTGAGGAAATACGCAGTATATATTCGAGACTGCTACAAAAAAATACAGGATGACAGGGGCATGTTTTTTTTGAAATTGGGCTTTGGCCTGACGACGACCCCAGCGCTTTCGTGAAAGTATAGCGCAGCTGATATCATGTCGAGGCTATGCTATGCCCTGTCGCGACCTTGGGATGAATGGAATGAACGAAGTGTTCGCATGCTAGATTTTGTGGAAAACCATCAAGCCAAGTCATTTGGAACATGACTTGCTGAGACAATTTCGAGGAAGCCAAATAACTGGATTGGCAGATGCAACTGGCCCCCCTCCGATCCTCAATATCGCAGTTGTCCCTCCTCCTCTCTCAGTGACTATAGCGGCTACATGTCTTCTCCACCCCTCCCTCCTGCCCCCAACGTTCAGGTGGGCAACAACCCTGTCGTGGACGGCAACATCGCGACAACCAGCAGTGAGATGGCAGAGTTGACCTACCGAGTTAGTGGACTCGTCGAGTTGTTGCAGAAGATGACCATGCGAGTGGCCAGCCTCGAGCGCCAGCTGATCGCGGCGCAAGCCTCGCCGGAGCACACGTTGCTGGCGACTCCCGCGGACACCGGCTCCGAGAGCTGCCTGTCGTTGGACCGTCTCCACGCCAGAGAGCTCGACGTCGGCAGCCAGCTCCACTCGACGCAGCTGTCCACGTGCCGCCGCATGCCACCGACGGCCCAGCCTCCGACACTTTGCGTGACCACGGCGATCGAGGCTGACGCGGCCTTGCCCGGCCTCCTCCGAGCCCCTTGGCCTGTTGTCAAGGCGCCCGAGCTCGAGGCCTCGCTCACCCTCCCGCCGGCTCTTGGCTACACTCGAGCGCGCACAGGCGCCAACGCCATCGCCATCGCCAACGCCGACGTCAACGACCACAACAGCCAGATCCAGCAGACCCTGTTCAGTCTGCTCGGCCCAATGGCCCGTCGTCTCGGCTCCAGCGAACTGCATCTGCTGGCCGGTCTGAGGAGGCCGCAGTCGCCGGCACCGGCGCCCGACGCGCCTCTGCCGCATCCGCGGACGCCGCAGTCGACCTCGATGAACGTGGCGGCCTCGAACAGCGCGTCGGGCCGAGGACGCGGGCCGTCGCAATTCGCCGACCCGCCGCCTCTCGGACACGCGAGACCGGCGCGTCCGCACTCTTGCAAGTTCTCAAAGCGGCAGGCCTCGTCTCGGCCGCGCCGCCAGCCAACGGCGACGGCGACGGCGGCAATGGAGTCAACGACGACGGCGACTCGGTCGACCCCGCATGGCGGCGTCGGTTCCACCTCGTTTAATTCTGTCTCCTCGTGCTCCTCCTCCTCCTCCTCCTCATCCTCCTCTTCTTGCTCCTCCTCTGCGCGACCGTCATGTCCGTCATCTCGGCCGGTCACGTACACCACCAGTCTCCGGCCGAAGCTACAGCCTCCCGCGCTCCACGACGAGACCGGCATGAGGCGAAGCCGCCTCGACATCGGCCCCGGGCACCTGCACCACCGCGACTCGACGGCGCCCCCCCAAACCGACGTGCAAGACCCGAGTCCAGCGGCGTCGCAACCGCCGCAGCCGACCGGCCGGCAGGTCTGCGAAGACTCGATACCGCGGACGCCGGTGGACGGCCGCGTCGTCGATTCCCGGTCTCTTCTGCACCGCCTCAATTGGCGGATACCGCGAGGCCTCGAAGTCGTCACCGGCCTCGGGCCAACCATCGACGACGCAGGTTGGCGCTGTCGTCAGGCCAACTCGGTCTGGCCGCCTCACGACGCTCGCTTCGGCCGCGGTAATGATCCTGTCCTGCCTCGACTCACGTCGTTGGCGCCGTCGGCGTCGGCCGACGCCGAACTCGGAGCCAAGACGACGGCCGCGGTCAGAGGCGGGCCGATGGAGCGCGAGAGAGGCAGCGACATCGACTGGCAAGACTGGGCCTCCGCCTCGAGATCCTCCGGTCCAAACCCTTTGGCCACTCGGCACTGACCCATCAGACCAGCGCTTCTGTCTGTCTGTCTGTCTATATATGTGTGTGTGTGTGTGTGTTCCGTGTGCCTGTAGGGCAGTGTCAAATGACTGAAAACATAGATTTTAACTGATTTCACATCCTCCTGTGACTGTGCGTGGAATTACACCATACTCATGGCTGTTTTCATATTTACTTTTGTTAACTTTATGGCAGTTCATAGCACTGAAAATCTGGGCAACGCACAAATAAACTATTTTTACTGTATGCCTTCTGCAAACGGGACGACCAGGACGACGCTTCCTCGAACAATGTAGCGCTGTTGTTATGCAAAGATGAGGTGTACAAAGTTAACAGGTTGTAGGCATATGAGGCGTATTCACCCTATTTGGTCTAAAGCCACAAACCCATGACTAGGCCTCATTGTTCCGTTGAACGTTTCATGACCTCGCCTCCCGAAAGGTGTTCTCCTCCGGACAGGGGTGGAGTGCAGTTTCGATCTCGCCTGACCTGGTCTCCTCAGCAGCACCACCAGCGGGACTCGAGCCCCGTCGCGCTAGTCCAGCTCACTATCCCTCCGCGCCGAACTGCCACGAGTGCCCTTGACCCTCAGGCCATGAGTGCATTCCAAGGAGAGCCTGACACATTCTGTGGTGGGGTTGTGAAGCCAACGTGAAGACGAACAGTGAACGGGAGACTGCAGGTGCTCCACGTGGACGGATGAGGTTGAGTTGAAGTCGGCTCCTGCGGCCTCCTGAAGGCGCTGCGGGACTCTGGACT